CACAAAACTCATGCTCATTCCCATTTAACAACCATTCCCCAGCCGTTTTACAGGGCAGAACTCAAATGAAGATGATCAAATCTGACTGTAACTACATCATCAGAATGGAGACCAGACTGCCATTGCGAGATGCACATTTGTACGCAATCAAAACTATGAGCTAGATAGCATTACTTTAAGGTACTATAAGTAGGATGTATGTGGGATAAGCTCAAATGAGAAGAGATAGGTGCATAAAGTATCAGGGCAATAAGAATAAAAGAAGAGTTTTTGCTTTACTGTTTTTGACAATAATAAAAAAATTTTCATAGAGAATGATATGCGACCAAATCATAGTTGATAGTTGAGAACAAGAAATTTATTTTTTTAAACCTTTTTGTTCTCGATTCTTTAAGGATCTCTGCATGATTTTGTTGGCAGATAATGAGAATCAAAATACAGTGCGTTTTCCTTATTTTATGCCTTTCACTTTCTTGTTATATATTTGAGCTCGGATTTGAGTAACGAGGGCTTTCCAATGTGCAAATGAACAGAGAGAGTGATGTATGTAAAATCTGCAGGCAATAACTCACCTCTCGTTATAGAGTGATGGAGTGAACTTTAGAAAAACATGGATTAACAGAAAAAGCTGTTCAACAGAGCAAATCCCTTATGCCAAATATGGATTAGTGGAAAAAGATGATACACTTTAAAATAAGGTGATACACTTTAAAATAAGGATTGAGAGAATGGTGCAAAAAAATTCTTTGAGTCTGATATGCAGTGAGTTATCTGTGAGCGATCAAAAGCTATGTCTAAGCAGGAACACAATCGCGACAAACCACAACAAAACTATCCAGAACCAGTTCTAGTGTAGCATAAGCAGCGATATTACTAGCTATGCAATCTGTGATTGATGATACTCTAGCGTTCTGACTGAAACATAAAAGAATCACTCACTCTTCTTGTGATATTCCCAGTAACGATTGGCCGTTGACCGACAGTAATTGATCACCAGCTGCCAAACGACCATCCTTGAACGAATTATCTTATCAACTCAGTTCAATTTAAACCAGTTTTGTTTATTTATAAAGTTAAATTTCAGTTTTACAGACTTGATAAACTGATTACCTGGGCTGCAGGGCTCCCTTGCACGACTTTCTTCACGTAGATGCCAACTTGGCGATCGCCAACACCCTGAAATCATCGAATAAATACATTTAGATAAAACATACCATGTGAACAAAAATGGAGAAATCAAAAGTACCCTCAATGAAACGACAGATAATAAGCAGAATTCATTTTA